TTATTTAAAAGTAATATGAGATTATCGAAGTATTGTCGTTTATGATCAAGATTTTTAAAAAATCGTCAAGATCGTGATCGAGTTAAAGGATGATCTTTTGCGACGTATACGTACATGTATTAATTGTATAATATGTATATTATATCGCGTATATGTTCTTTTTATCGATGCATATTATGTTTATTTCTCGTGCATCGTTCGCATATTATAGATATTTACTTTAGCGATTTAATTTCTCGAAATTTAATCAAATTGAACTCTACGTTCAGATTTATTGAGTTTTGCTAGGCTTTAATTTTTTTCTTTTTTTTTTTTTTCTTTTAAATATATCCTGTATCATAATATCTTCGGTTGAGATAAATTTGATATTTACGATATGACGTAATATAATTAAAATTTTGATAAATGATTTTCGTTGTTGAGAAAAATTGAATAAATTGGCATATTTGAATTCTTGCAAGAACGATTGTTCTAGATTAGATATTTCGCTAGAGAAATTTTGAAATCTCCTAGTCTCGTTTCTTTTAACTTAAACGATTCCATTTATCCTGAACCGTACAAATTTTCATATAATTCATTAGCCTTGATGAGTGTACCGTAGTAGCGTGTGCTGTAAATTATTCACCGCTTGACCGTGAATAAAATGATCGTGTAATTTTTATCGATATGAAATATTTATTCGCTGCACGATTGCATCCGTAATCCAAATGGACCTTTACCTGTTTAATTCAGTATACCTCGTATACCATATCTCGGGAAAATATCGAAAATTTTACGGAAATCAAAATAACAAGGAGAAAAAACAGTCGCGATAAATAAACGAACGACGAGGCGCAGAATTTAATTGACGTTTCGTCGATCGTTATGAAGGTATGGTTCAATATTTTCCATCGGTTGATATACTATTTCGACGGTGTCGAACAGACAGAAAGAAATCAACGTAATAAAGAGAAAAAGAAGAGGAAAGAAAAGGAAATAAAGCACAGTAGGCGATTGAAAAGCTTGGCAAGACCGATGAATGAGCGACTTCAACTCCTTTAAAAGACCGTTGAAGAAGAGATCTCGCGTCTCTAACCGAGTGTATACCGAGAAATCGGACAACCGCGTGTTTCGAACCTTGCTGCCCCGTAAAGAGTTTATTTCCCAGAGAGGCGTGTAAATGATCTTGGAAAACGTTCGACGAATACGTGGAATAATCGTACGGATCATTAACTACGCGCTATCTTCTTTATCTCTTTCGCCCCCCCAGCTTCGTTCTTTCATCTTTCACCGTTCCCTCCTTTTATTATTTTTATTCTATCGACGCAACATCGTGGAACGGGGGACACGGAAACATTAACGTCAACCGCGAATCGATGGAATCGATTTGGGACGAGTGTTCTATACGGTTATAGAACCCGGCTTCACCTGTTTACGGGAATCCTCGGTTCATGATACAGGCCATAACGTTTGTATTTGTGTTCGTGTATCCACGCATACCTTCTCTATCGAGGTTAAATGTACTTACTTCGATTAGCATTAGAGACAGTATGGCGATGACACTCTAAGATCGAAACGCGTAATCGAAGTTTTCGTCTTTTCCTTTTTTCTTTTTTTTTTTCTTTTCTTTTCTTTTCTTTTTTTTGTTTCCTTACACATACACGCAATTTATTCACGTTTATCTAGCACAACCCAGAAATAACGAGGTCGAGGTCCTTAACCAATTACAAGCAGATTTTCTCCTATCGGAAATGTTCATCGATCGCTAATTATCGAGATAATAGAGCACGGAAATGGCCAAATTAGTCGCTTCGGGGCAACGCTAGCTTTCTCAAAGCTATCCCCCACATCTGACCAATAAATGCGGCTCTTAACTACTCGACGGTCAGACGTTTCGCGCAATTATCCCGATTCGCGTTTTTCTTTTCTCCCAACTTTCCTGTCTCGGTCCAAGATGAGAAAGTGCGCGAAATGCTTTTCAAACGTATTCCGCAATTGGATTCCGATGTATATGCGCATCTTCGGCTTCGAAATGCGAAGCGAACAACTATAATCCATAAAGGATAGATTAGCTGGATGAACGGAATGATGAGTAGTAGGGTGATATTGGCCTTGGTGTCGTGACTTGGTTTTTATCGCGTCGACAAATTTCTTTTTTCAATGGAACGCGTGAAACGAGATGGATTAAGACGGCTTCGGTTTCATCGTATCGAACGATTTGCGCGAATCATCGATTGCGATTTCATCGTATCCCCGATAATGGAGGATCGGTAAACGGGCTGGTCGCGTTTAATTAACAAAATTTGTCAATATCCCTCCTCCTTTTGGCTGAGAAAGCCTTGGATTGTTGGAAAAACGACCGCTTTTGAGCCGCGCGATGTCGACGAAGCATTAATTTGCGAGCGAAATGATGGATTAGAGAAATGGAACGCGAGATAAACGGGAAATTGATTAAACTCGTGTTGCCATTGCTATTTCCATCATGGTATTTCGATGCTTGGTTAGATTGCCCTCGACGTTCACCTATTACAGAAATACGAAGCCGGGAAATCAAGAATGGTTTATGTAAAATTGATACCGATAAATTCCATTTTCGACTCGGTTACAACGAAAAATAACAGGTAATTGTTTTTCGAGCGTGGGATAAAAGTTTCTACCTCGTATAATTTGATCGTTCCGACACGCGGGGTCTACGCTAAACGATGGATTAGCCGGCTAAATGAAAAACTGATTACGCCGCTCGATAGCGAAACTCTTTTATCCATCTATCGTTTCTTCGTTTCTTTCTCGGCCGGGATACTCGTACCAACTTATGAAACGAGTAACGTAGTTTATCTAAAATTGATAAACTCGCGGATATTAACGGTTATACGCAAACTCGATACACGAGGCCTATCTATAGACATTTTTTTTTTTCAAGTTCGTACTTTGTTTCGAACAAATTCACAATCGATGGGAGGATTAATTTGTTTCATCGACGATAGGGACGCGTACGTTTAACGAAGAGCAACGAACACAAGCTTCGTCTTTTTATTCGGATCATTACGAATATTCTTTCTTGGATTTAAAAAAAAAAAAAAAATTTCGATTCAAGCCTCGATCATTCTGTTTTCTTTCGCACTTGGTTTAATCTCACTTTCATCGTTAAAGACAAACTTCCTGAAAGAGCGAACGATTTCCTATTTCGATTCGGCGAGCTATCGCGTGTCCCCTATCTCCGTGTATCGAACCCATTAAAACCGAAACGTTGGAACGGAAATGAAATGAAAAGACGACATCCCGGAGAATAAATAGACACGGACGTGAGAGGGAAATCGAAGAACCGCGAGGCTGTATCACAGCAATTACAGATGATCGAAAACGCATCTGCACATGTCGTATTTTCGTATTTCATCTACGTCGATGCATCGCGAGATGATCGAACCATCGTCTCGTATTACTACATTAATTCTCCGCATCCCGATTTATATCCGTACTTGTTCGTGGAACGAACGATGTTAATTTCGTAATTAATATTTGTAATTAACCTTCCCATATTTCCTACGTTACGTTTACTTTAATATCGATAAAATAGTTACTTACTTTTATATCCGGTATAAATCTAATTGAAAAAAAAAAAAAAAAAAAAAAGAACCATCAAAATGAACATTTTTCCCACGATCAAAAGCGATATATATATATTCTTTTCTATTCTTTTTTCCTTTATCTTTCTTTCGAATCAATTGAAATTTTTCCATTATTCGTGACGTTGTAAAAGGAGAGAGTAGGCGCCCATTTTCTAGTTCAGAGTTCCATCGTAGGTGAGCGAAACGCTGACGATCCTTCATATTTGACGCGAGGATCGTCGTAAAAAGGATTTAGGGGAAGCGTCGTGAATCCAGGGATCGTGTCGCGCGCTGGATCGAGCGATCGTGATATCGTCGAACCGTGTTTACGACTCGCGCCGTTTTCGTTGGTTATTAAAAGCGGTCCGATAGATGGTCGGTCGGGTTATTGAAAAGTAGAGGGTCGGTATCGATGATATAAGTACATTCGCGGCGGCCACTCGTTCCATTGACCATAAAAGTTAATCTCTGTCGGTGTTTGCTGCTTTTCCATCGCGCATCCCTGGATTTACGATCGCGCGACGGCAACGGACGAAAGCGAGCCGCGGCTTTCTTTCGTCACCGTTCAAGAGGACGTCTATACATTACCTTTTTCATCCGTTTGGCAATAGCCCAAGAGGAGGGAGGCCGTTAGTGCTAAGAACATTAACAGCCCCATGTCGTTGAGAAACATTAGGCTCCTCTCTCTCGACGTCTTCTTTTTATCCTTTCCCTTTTTCTTCTTTGTATATATATATATATATATATATTTTTCCAATCGAAATATCGCACGACTCTATATCCTCCCGTATTCGACACCGTTTCCTCCGTGATCCGGTTACGTTCGTGAGAGGGAAGAAAGTTTGCGTACGCTAAGAAACGAGGCAACTGGGGATAACGCCACTTAGATGGATATCTCGGGTCCACGCGAGAGGAATTACGATAGACTATTTACAAGCCGATTAAGATTCGAACCGTACTTTTCTCCATCCATTTCGAGGCGTCGTTCGTCACGCGCACGGTATGAGGTAACGGGGGGAGGCGTACGAGGCTCGAATCGGTATCGTCCGCCGCGTTGGACGTTGATTCGCCGATGCCGACGTC